TTCGGCGCTGGCCATTGTAAACTTACAATTCTGTTCTTAAGTTTATTACTTTTCTGTTAGATGGCGCTAGGATTGTTGAGTTGTCAACACTAGTTGGTGTAGGAAATGGAATAATGGGAAAAAGTCTGTTCTGTTGTTGTCATTAGAAATTAAAAACGTCATTTAATTACGTCCTGTAAAAGTTTAGTTTTCGCTGATAGAAGATAATAATAAATAAATATACTGTTGTATTATTGAAGATCCACGAACCTTCTAGAGGTTATGGGCCCAGAACAACCGGAGAAATAGTTATATTACTGTGGAATTTGCAGAAAAAAGTTTGTGAGGTTAGAAGGTGAAGTTTTGGGCGAAGGCAGGAAAAAATACTCAGGACGGAACAAGGGAAAATGACTGAAAACAATCTTAATCTGAATTTTTGTGTGTCAAACCATTCGATGGAGAAGCCTTTTCGAACGGAAATTTCAGGATCAAGTTACTGCTGAACCAGCACGAAATTTTGTCGGTTCTAACAGAGCCACAGTTTGATCCCAGTGATGCTGATAAGTGGAGAAAATGGAAAAAATGTTATGTAAAGGCTAAGGCGTTGATACTACAGTATTTATCAGATAATACTCTGGAATCTGTTAAAACAAAAAACACTGCAGCTGAAATAATGGCAAGCCTGGAAAATACATATGCGAAAAAAGGCATTTCCACGCATGTAATGCTACAAAAAAAGCTTAGAGGCTTGAAATATGCAGATGGAACACCACAGTAAATTTCTCACCGAAGTTGAAGGCAGCAGATGGAAAAATCGATGAAAGCGAATTGATCCTCCAATTATTGACAACAATGCCGGAATCCATCCAAAATGTCACAACAGCAATCGATATTATGTTTTGTCAAAACCAAAATGCAGTCGATATTGATTTTGTAAAGAACAAATTGCTCATGGAAGAATCTAGACAGGCAAAGCTGAGAGAAGAGGACAATCCAAATATGGCATTTATGTCAAGAAACCAAAGGGGAAGAGGAAACTGGAGAAGGCCTAGTGGAACATATATTATCTATTCACAATCCGATGTCTAAAGATAAAGGTAAAATTGATCACCTTCCAGTGTTTGTTAGGGAAAGGTGATAATTTTTACCTTTACCTTTGGACTACGGAGTGTGAATAGGATATAAAGGCAATTTCAGCTAAAGTCGTGGTGGTAATAATGTAGCCACACCCCATTCAACAAGTACGGGAAATAGAAGTGGTGAAAACTTTCCGTTTCGGTGCTATTTATGTAACAGAATTGGTCATAGAACAGCAGATTGTTCTATGAATCAATACAGAAGAGGAGCTCATCGTGGTGGTTTTAGAGGAGGCTTCAGTGACCGAAATAATGCTCAAAATACACAAGAAACTCTAAAAGGAAAAGAAGATGAATAAATTTCATTTTTGTCTAGTGAAACTTCATTATCTGTATTAAATCAAGGCAACATAAGTTTTGTAATTGACAGTGGCGCAACAAACATCTAATTTTTTTGAATGAACTGCAAACAAATAATCTACTTCCCATTTGCAAAATGTATAACAGAATGCCTTCACTAGAAAATATGTTCAGAAAATTATGGATGCGTTTAATAACTTATTATCTGAACCAATGCAGATTTTTCAAAAAGCCTGCAAGGAAATTTTCAAAGAAGAATCATTGGATGATACTGAAAATGATTCTTTAAATAAATACTATTTTCAAAGAATTTGATAGTGAAGCTCTAAGGTTCAGTTTTGGAAAAAACAGATTTATTTATCAAACTAGTTACTTTTACAGTTGATGGAGAAAGATTTGAAATGACCAATTCAGTGAAAGTTAAAAAAATGAATACAGCCCAGTTTGTGCCAATTTCTTAAGTTTTTACTAAATTTTCGTCATTGCCAGATTTTTTATCAGAAACTTAATCATATTAAGAATATTGAAAACATCAAGAACTCGTTACAACTATTGTACAAACAGATTTTTGGAAAAATAAAATTTCAGATTTTAGTGAAAATTACATAATTTTTCCTTTGTTTATATACTATGATGACTTTGAACTGAAAAATCCCTTGGGGTCCCATTTTGGTATACATAAATTAGGGGGTATTTATTACACAATAGGTTGCTTGCCACCAAAATATAGATCACAGCTGGACAATATTTTTTTAATGCTCTTGTTCCACTTTATAGACTTGAAAGAGTTTGGCTTCAAAGCAGTTTTTTATCAAATTATTGCGGAAATAAATTTTCTTAGGGAAACTGGCATAACAGTAAAATTGCCATCACAAAAAATTTGTGTCCATTTTAATTTTGTTTCATTTTTGGGGGATAACCTTGGGTTAAATACAATTCTTGGCTTTCAAGAAAGTTTTTCTTCTAATTATTTTTGCAGAATATGCAATAGTTTAAAAAAAAGACACTCAAACTTGCACCATTGGAAATAAAGACACAATCCGGTGTCATGAGAACTATGGTACTGATTAGGTAATCGATTACACATATTTGACAGGCATTAAACACAATTCAATATAGAATACCATACACTTTTTCCATATTGCAGAAAATTATGCGGTGGATTTTTATCATGATATTTTTGAAACCACAGCTGGAATGATTATGAAAGCCTTGTTGCATCAATTTATTTTTGTGGACAAATATTTTACTATAGAAACACTGAATAATGTTTTTCAGTTTTAACTTGAATAACAACAAACCCCTCCTGATTTCTGCGGAGAATAAAAAAACTCTTAGGATGGAAATGAAATGTTTTACAATAAATACTGTATTGATTTTCGGTGAGTTGATTTCTGTCAACAATAAATATTGGACGGATTCCGGATACATGAATAGTGACTTGCTTTTGGAATGGCTTGATCATTTCAAAAGGAATGAAAATCCAGTACCTGAGGATCCTATAAGCTATACTCTTAATATCAGAGAACCATTCGAGCCATATTAGCTTCGCTGCAATTATTAAATGGCACGAGAATCGAGTTTTACTATTGAGCCTACCACCACACAGCCGCTAGACAGGAGATTTTTTGGTCCTTCAAAGACAGTTTATGGACAAGAATGTGACAAATGGCATGCGTCTCACCCAGGGCGGACAAGCACACAATTTCAATTAGCGGAACTGTTCGGCAATGGGCTTTCCAGAGTCGCTTCTATCGAGAAGGCTGTCAATGCATCCATAGCTTGCGGCATTTGGCCATACAATCCGGATATTTTCTCCCCCGAAGATTTTGCACCTGCATGTGTGACTGTCTGTTACTGCTGAACTGACTTTAGATGATCCATCAAGCACTGACTCAGATGAAAATCTACCGCTAGATAATATCACACAGCGTGTCAACCAAAATGGGGCCTCCACGTCTATGCAGACAACTAAAATGAGCTTGCCTCTACTTCTATGGAGAAAATATTGGTCGCTCTTACCAAGTCACCGGCTAAATCTTCTATGGCTTCTACATACATAAAAATAAGTCAACTGTCAACTTCTGAGGCGGCACTCAATAAAGAGGCATCCGAATCCGGAACTCATTCTAATTTTCTGGTCTCTTCACAAGCTTTACCTGCAACAACTGAGCCAGCACCTAAGTCTACAAAAATCTGAAATCCTAAAATATCTTTGGGTTTTCAAAGCACTTTTATTGTAAAGTGTTCAAATTGCCATACAGAACGAAGGATAGATGCTGTATCTGGGGCTACAGATCTAAACAAGCAAATTGTTTTGGGATTTATTTCAAGTGGTGGAAGCCACGGTCAAATGAAGGAGATCTTCAGCTATTGCGATGTTCCTATAATGTCCAGTAATACATATTTAAAAATCCAAGATACAATAGCTGACGTAATTCATGAGACAGTTTGGAATGAAATAAAAGTTGCTGAAGAGGAGGAAAAAAAAATTGCCATTCAAAAGGGCAAAGTCAAGTTGGCTGATACAAAACCTTAACACAATAGGCCGGTGCAGAAAATTAAATGTCGAAATCACCTTCTGAGAAACTCCTGAAATCGCTTAAGAACTTTCTCAAAAAATAATTAGTTCCAAACAAAAGAAAGTTCTTCCAAATGAGAGAAATGTTCTTCCGACCAGGGTTAAACGAATGCGGAATGAATGAATTGTAGAAGCAGTTCAGCACTGTATATCAACACATTTAACCCATACCGAAAAAGTTTTACAATTAAAGAAGGATATTGTAGAAATAGTCCACATACGCTCAGACATCAAGAGTTTTGGTTAAAAAAAAATGTGTAATAAAAGTCCTGGAAGTGTACATAAAAATTACATCCAATCATTGGAAAAAAGAGCAAGTCGGAAAAAGCCTCGGAAACAACATTTCCCTACAACCAAAAAACAAAAATACACACAAGCTCCAGCAGATGAAAACTATGGGCTACCTTCAATCGAAATGGATAAAGCTGTTTATGAAACGCAAAAACAGCAATTTTTAAACTCCATCTAAATTGATGAGGACCAAGCCAGAAACCATGAGCGTGCAACCATGAGACAAGCTGACATATTACTGTGGATGGAGTAAACATCAAAACGAATCACAGCAAGTAATTTTGGGAAGATCTTTTCGATCGATTTGCGAAAATCCATCGGGTGATCCAATTTCGTCCTCGCCGATAAGTTTAAACTATTGGTTTAACCGAACGCTTTGGTCCGTAGCTGGATTCAGCTTGCTCACTCCATGTACTCCGAGTGACTCCATTCTGGGCGTGTTTGGGATGACGCACGGAGTACACAGTGCGTGCTCATTTTATCTATTCCTGTTATTGTTGGAGCTCAGAGCACGCCCTACTGCGTTTGGTTTGGCAGATTTTGAGTGTTTCGAGCGTACTCCTTTCACCCCGTTTTCAAAGAGCGAGAAGTTAGAGGAATCATGCGCGGAAGGTTATTTTACATAACCTAGGAAAATAAAAATTATTATTTTTTTGAATATTTTGTTTATTCTTGTTTGTTGTCGTTGTTTTTTACACAAATCACACACCACAATGAATGAGATTGCTCCTTCTCCAGCAACGCATATCTTGATAACAACCGATACGGGTAATCCCATAGTTAGTGAGGATCAAATTCTTCTACAACGAATTTCAGGTAAGTAGAACTTAAAAAATTATTTAGGAAGTTTCAGAGTTCTTGTTAGGTTTTAAACTATTATCTCGATACTGGATAGTGAAACCAAAACACATAATTTGGTCACATTTCACTAAAAACAATTTTGTATTGTAGATGACCAACTTCAGTCCTTCCAATTAACAAAAGAAATAATGAGGGCATTTAATTTAATTGTGAATCTGGTAGATACTAATACTAGTGGTGAAAACGGTACTCCTGCTACACCTCTTGCCAGTGTTAGTAGAAATATAGAAAAAAATGACACTTCTGAACCTGAACTTGGATTAAAATGGACACAACAGCAAACCTTATTATTAATTAGACTAGTGGAATCAAACTATGAGAAATTTAATGAAGGACTTAAGAAAAATGTTTGGTTGAAAATTGCTAAAGCATTGTCAGACATGACAAACAAAAAATTTACTGCTGAACAGTGCGATACCAAATGGAAGGGTCTTAAACGCACCTATAAAACAATTAAAGACCATAATAATAAATCGGGCAATGACAGGAGAATATGGGAATTCTTTGCTGCTATTGATAGTTTTTTGAGTAAAAAACCAGAAATTGAACCTTTAAGCATTTGTAGTACCATTACTAATAAACTCGAACTAAGGGTAGGTGCAGTAGTAACATTCTATCTGTTTCGAAATATAGTTATACCTAACATTATTATTATTTAGATCCTTCTACTGCTGAGGAGAGTACCAGTTCAAATGAAGCAGTTTGTGCAGTACCCATGCTTGCAGTTACCCCTCGAGGTACACCGGCTAAAAAAAGAAAACAATGTGGGGGAGTTGTTGAACACCAGACAGGGCAAACCATATCAGATGACTCAGACTAATAAATGGGTATTTTTGTGACTATGTATATTATTATTATTATTTTTGACAAATGAAGTTCAAAAGTTACTATGCATTATTATGGTTTTCAATAATAACCAACTATAAACCTTTTCCTATAATAGCTCCTAACTTTTCAACTACAATTGTGAAAAATACCAAGTTTAATGAGAGACTTTTGTTTTTTTTTTAAATCAAAAAAAAGACTATTTGATTTCTATAAAAAGCAGCAATAACCTTATACTAAAAGGTGAACCAAAGATTATTGAAATAATATATTTACCTACTTGCCTATATAATAGGAATGAATTGGTAGCCAATATTCAATGTTTCGTTAAAATTTCAATATGTTTGTATTTTGCATTTTTAATATGTAACTCGATATGTAACCAATAAAAGAGTTGAAAGTTTATAGAAATATTGGTTTTATTTAACTTCTGACATAATACATACATTTATATTGAAACTACATCAAAGTGTTTGCAATGCGATTTCTTTTGGCCAATGCCTCATTGAAAATTTCCCGTTGATTCTGAGGTGGCTCAGGCGGGTTACCAACATTCATAATTCTCTCTTCCTCCACTTCTAATTCGATATTTGCTAGGGCTTCGTCACCATCAAAACTTCTGCATATATTATGTAGGATACATGCACTAATAATTATCAGTGGAATCAACTCTATTTTTGTGTTTTCTAATAACTTCAACCTTCTGAATCTCCCCTTCAGCAAGGCAAAAGCTTGTTCGATTAGTACCCTACATTTGGAGTGAATGTTGTTGAAATTTATTTGTATGTGGTTGAGATTGCCATTGTCTTTAAATGGAACCAGTAATTTTTTTAACAGAGGGTAAGCTGAATCGCCCAGTAAATGACAGTCGTCCAAAAATTCCAAATTATCAATTTGTTGCCCCAAACTACTACGTCTAAACACGCAAGCGTCGTGTATCGAACCAGCTTCTCCTGCATAGCAATCAATAAAATTATAATTGTGATCACAAACAGCTTGCAATAAAATGGAGTGAGATCCTTTCCGGTTTATATAAGAAGCACTATTTCTTGAGGGAGCCTTCATTGAAATATGGCTTCCATCAATAGCTCCAATAATGCCTAAAATATGATTTATATTAAATTTATATATAAAACGTTATTTCATAATTTTAATAAATAGAATGTAATTATTTAGGACATTCTCATAAGGAAATATATATATACATATATATAGTTAAAAAAAAAAACTATATATATATATACATATATATAGTTAAAAATTTATATGTCCTAGTCATAGTTTTGATTATTCATAATAATAAGATCTTTTATATTGTTGTAGCCCTGACGAAGGCAATAAATAATTACCGAAAGCTCGGCTTAGTGGAAAAGGAGATTTTTATTTCCTAGCCCTTCAAGACGACCGATACCCCAAGAAACTCCCATTGTTTATAAATTCTCCGGTCAAGATACTCTGTAAACATATATATAGCTTGATATTTTTACGGCTGTCTAATATTAAATGAAAAATTGAAGTTTATAGGGTTGCAGCCAAGTTTTGAATTCTTTTACAGTTTCTAAGGCATCAATAAGAGTATCATTTTACTTTTGAAAGCTTTCGGTAACTTTTATTACCTTCGTCAGTCACTACAAAATAGTTGTTACCTAACTAATATAATAAGTTAATAAATTAAAAATTAAAAAACTTACAGTAATTGAGGTTTTTTGTCAATTGCTTACTCTCTGCTCTGAATAGGAAAATATTGGATATAATATTGATATAAAAAGATGTAAAAAGACTAAAAAATATAAAGATAATGTATGTAAAATGATTTAAAATTTGATTTTTTTGATTTATTTATTTTTTTTCAGGTAAGACTTCAAATAAGAAAAATAAGGAGGATCAGAAATTTAAGAATTTATGTTAATGTCTAAAAGTGAAAACATTTTTGGTTTAAATAAAACATATATCAATTTATTCTATTACTAATGTCTAATAAATTACAATAGAACATATTTAAATTTTGAATATCGGATTTACTATTGCTTGTATTATTTTTGTTATTGATATGTATCATCTCTAAAAATAATCTCTTGAAATTGTTATTTTCCTTTTCAAGAATTTTGATATTTTCAAAATCAGGGATGTGTCCCATGTCAAAAACATGTTGGCTTAAAGCACAAGCTTGTGGTCTCAATCTTATGTCACTTTTATGTGATACTACGCGGTCTTTTAATAGCCTTGACGTTTGTCCTACATATATTTTATCGCAATTTTTGCAAGCAACTTGAAATACTACTTGTGATGTTTCTAAAATTTCAGTTTTGTCTTTTAAATGTGTGAAAATTGATGAATTAGTTAAATAAGATCGGTTAGCAATAATAATGTTTTCATTTTTAAAAATATTAGAAATTTTTGGAGTTGTTAAGTTGCTTGCAAAAATTGCGATAAAATATATGTAGGACAAACGTCAAGGCTATTAAAAGACCGCATAGTATCACATAAAAGTGACATAAGATTGAGACCACAAGCTTGTGCTTTAAGCCAACATGTTTTTGACATGGGACACATCCCAGTAACATAAATTCATAAATTTCTGATCCTCCTTATTTTTCTTATTTGAAGTCTTACCTGAAAAAAAAAAAATAAATTTTGTCAATCAAAAAAATCAAATTTGAAATCATTTTACATACATTATCTTTATATTTTTTAGTCTTTTTACATCTTTTTATATCAATATTATATCCAATATTTTCCTATTCAAAGCAGAGAGTAAGCAATTGACAAAAAACCTCAATTACTGTAAGTTTTTTAATTTTTAATTTATTAACTTATTATATTAGTTATGTAACAACTATTTTGTAGTGACTGACGAAGGTAATAAAAGTTACCGAAAGCTTTCAAAAGTAAAAAGAGACTGTTATTGATGCCTTAGAAACTGTAAAAGAATTCAAAACTTGGCTGCAACCCTATAAACTTCAATTTTTCATATACATATATATATATATACCTGGAAACCCTTGCCTTTTTTGAAATGCTTCAGAAATTGTGCGACACTGCTCTGCATTTGGCCAAGCAATAATTTTCTTTCTCCTGTTCAGTTCTAAAAGTCTATTACATACTTTGTAAAAACATGTCCATGGAGTGTAGGTACTCAAACCAAAACGATCAGCCACACTTCTATAATGAAATTAAAACGCAAATTATAACGAAACCTATTGGTTTAATTTTTTTTAAAACTAGAACTCAACAACCGAGACAACAACCAATGGAATATTCTTGAAATAATACCTATAAAAAAAAATACTCACCTAAAGCTCTCTAAATTTGCTAAGTACCATATAGTCATGAGAAGCTGTTTGCTTAAAGGAGTCTCTGGATTGCCTCCTCGCAGTATTTGAGGCCTTACTGCAACTAGTTCATTTAACAATGATTCAAAAGTTGTTCGAGTCATTCGAAAATGAATGAAGAATTGTCGACCTGTATAGTTTCAAACTGTATGTTCCGCATAATTTTCTACTTTTGCAAGGCTTCCTCTGCCATCCTCCTCATCGTCACTGCTATCCATGAACATATTCTCTGCAGAATATTCAACAGCCATAATAACAAGGTCCATTGTTTGTTAAAAATAAAATAATTGTCGCTTCCAAAATTCGTACAGTAGAATATTAAAAAATTTAAGACAGAAAGCTAACAATAGAAAAAAAAAAAACACTGATTATGAATCGATACTCTAGTGAATAAACAACTTTCAACTTTATACTTAAGAAGAAAATTTATACTTTACCGCCTTTTCCTTCCCAAATTTAAAATTCAAATTCAAATTCAGTCAGTGCCAGTGGCTCCACACGTCACACAGCAAAAGCACAAAAAGTAAACAATAATCAGCTGATCGCTCAACCCAGCACATACACGAGTTTATTTGGCTTGATACGGTGTACTCTCTGTGACGTCACATTACTCCGTAATCGCTCTGCTCGCTCCGCCGAGCGACAACCCAAACGCGCCCTCTATTGGAAGGGTTAGTGCGCACTGAGTGTGCTTGTGTTTTTTTCTACCGGCTTGTAAAAGAGAGAGATGCTTAGGTATTAGTTTGCAGTTAGCAACAGTTTAGTTGAATGAAAATGTATGTATCATCACCATCTGGGCTCACTTCAGACGATTCTGTAGTATTAGAAACCGAAACTGAGCCAGAGTATGCAAGCGAACAAAATTCTGCGCGTTGTAATACACTGCAAAAGTAAACCTACGCCCTTTACATTTCTCTACGAAATTAGCATAGAACATTTACTGAATTCATCCCCTCAATTTTTTGTTTTAATTCGTGACTACACACTTCACCGCTGTGCGCTTGTATCGTCGTTTTTTAACGTCCATCAAACATCATAATGCATATGTCATCGTTGTGTGTCATCTGAATTAATGTGCTGAGTGCATCGTCGTTGAGTGTAGAGTTTGTTGTTTTGAGTTGTAAGACTGTGAAAGAAGTGATAAGTGCATCGTGCATCACAAGAAGCCGGTTTAAGAGTCTGTGACCAGGCGACGAAAAATAAATCGGCCATAAGCGAATTGCAGTGACAGACCAGGGAAATCTACATCGAAAACAACACTGAAATCAGAAATTTTGGTTTTGCGATAAAAAAACAAGAAATCGTGCTATTCCACGGTGCTCCACACATGCTCAAAGGGAATTAGGAATAACTTGATAGAACATGACGCCCAATTTAAATGGAAAACTGGACGTTTTCAAAAAGCATTTGGGAAAGTTTACCTACACCAGATCATCTAAATTATAGACTTAGGTCTTTTAATAAGTGATTCTCACATAAATAAATCTTAAATAAATTATTTATCAGATACTACCTGCACTTATAAATATTGATTTGTTCACTAATTCAAGATTATTTTTCATGTTGACTTGAGGTAATGTCATGTTTGTTACTCTCGACCTCCTTCCTATAATATTTATTTTTTACTTTTTTTTAATGCTTTTTAAGGTGGTTCTGGTAGTTTTTATATTCAGCTTCCTTCGCTATAGTGAAATGTGTCAGAAGTTGTTTTTTGTATTCTCTACCCTAAACCAAACTATCAGTATGAATTGGCTTTTCAGGAAATCCGGGCATGCTTTTCTTGCCTCTTTGGAATTGAACCTATGGTTTAAGAAAAATATTTCCTATGTCTGCGGAAACACCAACGTATGCAGCCTCTGTAAAGCCGAAGATAATTTGGTGTCGATCAAAAGTCTTGATAAGTCCCATAGTTTAGTTGACAAGGTCCTGTTGAAGAAAATGTGTCCAGCTGAATGTGACGTCTGTTTGCATTGCATGATGTTCTTCCAATGACTCAGTGGAATTCAGGATAATTTTTTTAAGAAATAAGTAAGACAATTTCTTTTTTTGTATGTCAGGTTATTGATAGTTTGTTACTTCTTTCTAGCCATTTTTGAAACCGGAATACAAAAACAAAAGCCGTGAATCCCTCTAAAGGCAAATCAGACACAAATTTTGATTTGCAAGTCAACATAAAGAGGATGCGAGATTATCTGCAGAAACAACTGGGGAAAACAAAAGTATTGAAACCCTTGGCAAACAATTGAGACATGTAAAACCTATCAAGAATTTTGATTCGAATTTCAAGAAAAATAGAACGGATGCAAAATTATTTGTAAAAGTGCCCTATGTGAAACTGAACAGTATGCTGGAGAAAAAAAAAAACAATATTCTTAATTAAAGTTATACTACAGCGAAACTTAAATATGGACAAAAAGATCTTAGTTAAATTGTTTAGTAAAGATATCTTACAAACCAAATTGTTTGTGTTTTAGGTTTTTTCGTCTAGAAAAGCCAAATGAAGGAAACCTGAATTAAAAAAACAGGCAACTGTTACTGAAAACGTGGAAGATCTTGGCTCCGATTCGAAGAATTTTGTTTGTAGTAACAATTTTTTCGAACAGTTTTGTATAAAATATAGATCTTAAGTGATTTGTTATTTGAATATTTTTTAAATTGAACTTAATAAGTTTCCTTTATAAATGATTAAGTGAACTTAGGAATTATATCAATCATCTGGATTTGATGCCAGAAAATGTGAATACCTATGTAAATATTTTCGTTTTTAAGTTTTTATTTTTTTTTTATTCCATTTAAAAAATTTAAAAGAGAAAATTCCTAACTTGGAAGTAGGTAGCTACCTAATAAATAAGTGAAACCAAATACTAAAATTTTTGTTTTATTTAAAAAATGAAAATTGCATCTGCCAAGCAGTATCTATTAATATAAAAATGAATCCCTATTTCCCTTCGTCACGGCATCAAGCGTGAACGGCTGGACCGATTTAACTAATTCTTTTTTTGTTGTGTTTGTTATTGTCAGGAGAAGGTTCTTATGAAATAAAAAATTAAGAAAATTGCGCGGAAAATTAGAAAAATTAAGAATACTTAACCATCATATTAAATTGTCTACTGTAGCATCAGCCACCTGTAGTTTCTGGATAGACTATGCAGCGGACACCCGTAGAAAGAAGAGTCAACGGTGAACATAACCTAGCTTTTTATATAATAAAGCAAGAAATCGGTGTCTGCTTCAAATATCGTCAAAGAGGATGTAAAAAAAATTAATATCGTTTAAAACAGATGCTTCGATCGGAGTTATTATATTGATAAAATACATACATCACCGTTAGTTCAGAGCTATCACGCCTAATATTAAAAGTTCAATTTAATATGAAGTTTTGGTAAGTTTGGATAGACTAACATACACGTTACTAACATAACACTTGGTATACTTGGTTATAAAGAAGAGTACAATAGTTTTTTTTTTTTATTTTAGAAATTAATTTTCGTTTTTAAAAATGCCAGCAATTAGACGTACAAACTTAAGTCTCAGAACTCGCAATGCTGCAAGTCAAAGATATACAAGAGCAAGTCAAACCGACGAGCAACGCGAAGAGAGAAATGAAGTTGAACGGAATCGATGGAATCGAAATCAACAACATAAGGATGTTACGTTTGACCCCTATTAATTATAACGTGGAAATCAATTACAGTTCACAGCAAATCGTTGCTATTGGACCAATGAACGTTGTGTGCCAATATTGCAAGGCATTTAAGTTTAAAAATGAAGCTCCTGGATTGTGTTGCGCGAGTGGTCAAGTCAAATTGACGCCATTGGTATCGCCACCAGAGCCACTACATTCATTGGTTTCCGGAAATGGGCCAAATTCTAAACATTTTTTGACTCATATCCAGCAATACAATAATTGTTTTCAAATGACGTCATTTGGCGCAACAAAAGTTATTCAAGAAAATTTTATGCCAACTTTCAAGATTCAGGGTCAAATATATCATCCAACAGGTTCCTTATTGCCAACGCCTGATAGTGACTCCAAATTTTTGCAAATTTATTTTATGGGCGATTCTGAAAGGCAAGTCGATCAGCGTTGTGCACACAACAATTCAGTGAGACCAATTGGGGAACAACTCCAAACGTTTTTCCATCAACATAACGAATTGGTTGCATTATTCACGACTGCATTGGACCGCATGCCGTCTGATAACAACAAAATTGTCATCAAAGCTGATAAGACGCCTGGAGCGGCACTCTGTAACAAAATTTCGATAGAGATTCTCTTCGCTTCGCTATTTCGTACTTTGTAACTAGGTTCGGTCGATCCCGCGGCTACCCGAATATGACCGAATGGGCGATAGAGAAGAGAACGATAGCGACACCTCAAGAGGTCTTTCTATCCAAGAGACATATCGTTCTGTCTCATTCTACTCCATACCTAAGCTTTTTTTTATCTCCGTCTGATGAGAAAAGATAAGGGGTTATGTTGTTCATTTTTATTATTTATTTTTAGTGTGAGGTTATATTATATCAATAATAAAATTATTTTTTTCAAATAAATAGATAATTCAATATCTGTGACTGTGAGTGAAAATAATAATAAACTGTAAGTAAACATTTAGTTTTATAGGTTTTTACTATGATTACAGCAAAGATATTAATAAGAATAATTAACAACCCTTTAAGTATGTAGGTACCGCCATTAAATTACTTTATTACATAGGACATAAATATATATTTTATTAGTTATAGAAACATGTCTGCACGTGCCCCTAAAACAAATCCAAGCAATGGGTAGTCCTTGTGGACCTTTTATTGGAACATTTGTTGGGCTGGATGCCCGACAAAAATACAAAAGCTTGTGGGAACAAGTAGCGACCCAATTGTATGGGATTTGGCTCAAAAACTGCTGAAAAATGGATAGAAGTGAGTTTGCCTACTGTGTAATTCTATCCAAGTGTAATTGTGTTTTTAGGCTTTCAGCAAATGGAAGAGCAAAGTAAAAGTAAAAGCACAAAATCTAAAGCTCAACATGGAAAGAACAGGTGGAGGTGGGCCTTTGCCACCTTTATTGCCAATTGAGGAAAAACTCATGGGAATAATTGGATGGACTGTAGTAGAAGGAGATGCCACATCTGAATTAGGTTTTGTAAGTATTTTTATGATTATCTATATCTACATCTTTTCCCCTGTATTTTTGCATATTGATCTTATTTAAAAAACTATCTACCTAAGTACCTACCTATAATAAAATACCTTTGAACTGTTCAAGTTCAAAAACTTATATGAAAATGTTTAAAAATGATGTTTAAATATTATATAAAATAATAGGTACTTAATATAATTAATATTATTATTTATTGTAATAAACTTACAAACAAATCATAACTATATAATTTTTAGGGAAACGATGCTGTTCTTGACCAAAACAGTGAATCTCAAGATCCTGCTGTAATCATTGTAGATGATCCTCAACCCGAACCAATTAAAATGCCTCCACTAATTATTATTAAAAAAAGTCAAAAACTATCCATTCCTCGATCCACTCCATTCATCTCGGCTATACCCTCCACATCTACCATGCAAGAAAATTTTGTTCCAAACACCACAACACACACAGATATTTTTGCCACACCCTCTACTTCTGGTATCAAGTTAATCAAATCTGATCAAGTTGATGTTTCTTCTGGCAAAGAAAATTGGTTAGGAAAAATCAAGTGCGAGGTGAAAAAGCCAAAAAAGTTAGCAATAGAACCAATAGAAAAGGTGATGAAATGACCTTGTTAAGGATGCACCAAGAAAATACGGTGGTTCTAAAGGAGATAAACACAAATCTTGCTAGAATGGCGGATGGACAAGAGGCATTTCTCAATAGAATGGCGAATGGTCAAGAGGCATTCCTCAACAGAACTAGTTTTTGTCCACGTTGCTCTACAGCAATGCAAAATCTCGAGGAGGATGATGATAACTATAGGTTTTTAATTACCTACCTACTTTTTGAAATAGATTATCGAGTTGTTTATTTAGTTTATTATTTATATTAGAATTTATGTTATTTTTGTATTAATATTTGGGTATTTTTTGTAATTTTTGTATCAATATTTAGTATTGATATTGGAGTACTTTTTGTTCCTTTTGTATAATATAAAACTTGTTTAATCTTGTGATTAATAAAAAGTACAAATTTATAAGTTTTGATATTTTCTTTACACTATTAATTTTTAGAATCCTGAGTATATTACATATAATAATGTCAAAAATATAATTGACTTTATAATTTTTATTAGGATGTTGTTTAACTTTTTTCAGTATAATCTAGTTATCTGTCAGTGAAAGAAGGGTATAGAAAAAAAAAGTTATATTCATTTTGGAGTAAGGTTTATTAATCTCAACTATTTACAAAAAATTCCCTAGCAAACAAACACAAAATTACACAATTGTAAAATATCTATTTACAACTTGTTGCCTTGTTTGTCTGGCTTCATTCAATACTGGGTAGTTGACATTGTGATGATTATTATCTACACCTTCATTGATTAAATTTATGTCAATGTCAAATTCGACTCCTGCCCTAATTAGTAAATTATGCAATACTGCACAAGCATTAGTAATGACACCAACTTTTTCTGGGCTGTATCTTAACTTTTTCTCTCCTAAAAGGCACCTGAAAATCATTTTGAAGCGTCCATTGCAGCGTTCAATTATACTCCTAGTGATTTTGTGTGCACTGTTATACCGCCCCTCTGGTGTATTTGGTTCAGGGTTTTCAAATGGGGTTAATAGCCACGGTTCCAAATGGTATCCTAAATCTCCAAGCAGCCATTGGTTTATTTCACCTAGAAAATTAATTATTTAGGTCCTGTTGAAATTTGTAAGACTTTTTGCTTACCTCTGTCATAGTCCTGATTCATGACGCGTTAGACTTGTGAAGCTCTCCAAATAAATGCATCGTTCACAGATCCAGGGTATCGGGCATTTATATTCAAAATTTGCAAATCGGGGCTGCAAACTATTTGCACATTTTTCGAATGATAGCCCTTCCGATTCACATAATTATGCTCTTCATGCGATGGTGCCAATATTGCAATGTGTGTGCAATCAATGCATCCAACTATTCCTGGAAACCCAGCTTTTTCCATGAATCCCCTTTTCATTTCATTTTTTGAACGTTGGTGCAAAGGAAATTCGACCCACACAGGTCCCATAAGTTTTGCTATGCAATTGGCAACCTCATGAATGCAACGACTCACTGCTTGCTGGCTCATAGATAATGAGAATTCTTCGCCTATACCTGAAAACAATAATTAAAAAAGTGAAATATGCAAATATGTATCTATTTGCCTTCTTATACTGTACCAACTAGATGCCTAATCTTATAAAAGTCTACTGACACTAGAACCACAAGATTCTATATTTTATTGAAATTATAATAATTGTTTTGCTATGAAAATGTATAAACAAATCATATTAGGTATATTTCGAACTAAATATTTGCTAGTTTTCCTAGGGAAATAGTATCATCTTGAAATAAAAACCAAAAAAGTAGTGAGTCACTCAGTGAATCATTATCCAAAATATTAATTGATTGCAATGATCTGAGAATTTTTCAAGAAATTGTACAGTTTTAACAATCAACAGTTTTATTTAATAGGTAAATTGACCCATAAACAACTCACAGTTTATGCAGATTATATATTCTTAGGAAACTAGCTTCATAATTTGAATGTGAAAAGCTTTTCAATAAATTGAATTGAAATTAATTTGGCATTACAACAAAACTTAAAAACTAATATACAAACCTCTCTGATAATTACCAATTGCAAAAAAACGTAAGGTTGTTAAAATCCGTAGTTGGCAAGGAATTCTTGTGGTTCTTTGTTTATGATCCATGTGGGGTACGAGCTGCGTGAATAAATAGGCCACTAGGTCCTTATTTAGACGAAAAAGTTCAATGTATCGTCTATCATGTAAACTGAATGGATCACTATCATCCCTCATCACCCTTTTATCCAGTCTATTGTCCTGCATTCTTGCAATGTTCTCAATTTCATTTATAAGAAATCTTTGCACTGGCAACATTTCTCACAAAAAACAACCCAAACAACTTAACTATACTAATATTTGTGTTACGATAAATGGATATAGGTAAACAATACAATATAATTTAAAAAAACAGATATAGAAAAATAATTTACAACCATATAAAGCTTAAGGAAACTGAAACTAGGGAAAGATATAAACATCGACATAAACAATAATAAATATTCAAAAAGTGGGGTTAATGTAATAAACCTAGTTCTAGCATGTGTTTCGCTTCTTTTTTCATAACTTTGGTGAAATTTGCCGATGTTTTCAGAATGTTAACACTAGAATCTCTATCTTATTGAAGAACACGAGAATGGCCGAACTATCGCGGAGGCCATAGAGATTTGCTTACAGAGTACCGCTAATTATAGCGATAGAGATCGTGTCGCTTGCCTATCTTTATCGCTTTCCTCGAAAATGAAAGATACAGAGTGCCGCTCCTGTAGGAGAACAAGCGAGACGTTTTAATGCGCAAACAATTGACGAAGTCGCTATTGTCGTCGTGGGTGAAAATTTAGAAAACCGAGATATTGTTTTACATCGGCGTAGCAATCAACTGCAGCGTGTATTCGAAACACATCGATCATATGATGCGTTACAATATCCTATCTTATTTTGGCAAGATGAAGATGGGTATTATTTTTCAATCAAGATGATAAATCCAGTCACAAGTCTCGAAACTAACAAAAAAGTTAGTTCAATGAATTATAATTCATACAGTCTGATGGTTCGGGAAAATGAGGACAATCATATCTTAAAATGTCGACGTCTCTTCCACCAATATGCTGTGGATATGTACGTGAAAGTTAAAACGGAGCGATTGACTTTTATCAGGTTGAACCAGGCAAAACTGCGTTCTGAAGAATACATTAATCTTCGGGATGCTATCAATGCTGACGGAAATGCACAGAATGTAGGTAAAACAACTATTCTCCCAGCAACATACGTCGGAAGTTCGCGACATATGCATGAATACGCTCAGGATGTTATGTCGTATCCACAGTGGACGGACATAAGACAAGAATTATTTCTTGGCCAATCACCCATTGATCGCCACGACATTACCGCAAGGGTGTTCAAAAGAAAGTTAAAATCACTCATGGATTTCATTGTTAAGCATCGTGTATTCGGCGAAACGCGCTGTTGGATGTATTCAGTCGAATGGCAAAAACGCGGATTGCCACATGCACACATCCTCATTTGGTTGGTAGAGAGGATAAGACCGGATAAAATCGACGATGTGATATCTGCGGAAATTCCTAATAATGATGGAGATCCATTGTTACATGAGATTGTAACAAAAAATATGATTCATGGTCCCTGTGGAATATTAAATCAAAATTCCTCGTGTATGGTGGATGGAAAATGTTCAAAACGTTTTCCAAGACAATTAGTAGCAGAAACTATTAGTGGAAATGATGGTTATCCACTTTATCGCCGGCGATCCACTAATGACAACGGAAAGTAAACAACAGTCCAAGTGAATCAGCAGGACATTGAAGTTGATAATCGTTGGGTTGTTCCGTTTTCGCCGTTACTCTCCAAAAGATTTAAAGCACACATACATGTTGAATATTGCCATTCCGTAAAATCAATCAAATATATCTGCAAGTACGTGAACAAAGGTAGTAACATGGCTGTGTTCGGAGTTGCTGCAGAAAATTCAAACGATGGTCGATGAGATCACCCATTTTCAAATGGGACGCTATGTCAGTAGTAATGAAACGATGTGGCGTATTTTTTCATTTCCAATACATGAAAGACGCCCCACTGTTGTTCACTTGGCCGTACATCTGGAAAATGGCCAAAGGGTGTACTTTACAACGGAAAACGTATTACAACGAGTTGAGAGGCCGCCATCGACGATATTAACCAACTTCTTTGAAATGTGCCAAAATGATGACTTTGCCAGGACACTGCTTTGTTCCGAAATGTCACGATATTATACCTGGAATCAATCGTTAAAGAAATTTCAACGACGGAAACAAGGACAGCCAAATTACACACAAGTATTTTCCACCGATGCACTAGGACGTCTTTACACAGTCTATCCGAGCCAAGACGCGTGTTTTTATTTGCGTTTACTGTTAAGCGGCCTACAGACGACATGGCAAATATACGCCAACTTCCGCATTTGTGAACATTATCGGATCGTGTGCATAGAAAACGTGCTACGAACTCCGTCCAACGTTGGCGCTGGCCGACGTTCGCCTCGGAGGCGGTATTTCTGGCACACATCAAAGGGATCAGGTCTCGACTGGCATATATTGGCCAATGCCATTTCCTCCATACACACGAGCGTGCACATTTCTTTGTATGTTTTTGCGAAAGTAGGACCATAGTTGTGGGATTAGTTAACTTTGGGAAAATAAAATTGTGGTAAGTAAAAAATATAATTTTTTCTTCAGACGTCAGAAATACAAGAAAACGAATCATGGAAGATTAATTAAATTTATATTTGGTCACCTAGTTGGTGGTTCGTTCGTTACTCACAATATTAGTAGGTACTTGCGATATTTAAAACTAGGATTTTTCTTTATTATTCATATATGTACTATAAATGTTTGAAGAAAAAGTATCGTGTTCTATTCGGAGTAAAAGCCACTTTTCTGACGTCTGTTATTGCCAGCCTCAGTTCGTTGGGCAGGCAAACTTACAGACTCGTCAGAAAAGTATCACTTCTACTCCTAATAAAACAATATACTATTATAATCATTGTGTCAAATAGTTTTTCACATAGTGAAAATATGTGTTTCATTGAAGTGGCAAATTTTTATTTCAGTAAAAGTTGCAAGATGTCTGAAAACTGGACCAATGAAGCTATACTAGAGTTTTTAAGTATATATGAAAAACATTCATGATATGGGATTCACAAAATATGAATCATAAAAATAGAAATATTGTTAATGATGCGTGGAACGAAATTCAAAGGGAATTTAGTATTGAATGTACAGTTGACATTTTAAAAAAGAAAAAGGAGTCATTAATGTCGACTTACAGAACCTTGAAGGAAAAAGTTATGGCGTCAGAAAGGACCGGTTCTAGTCACGACGATTTATATAAATCATCTTGGTTTGCTTTTTCCTTTATGGATAAGTTTTTGAAGAATGTAGGTAGAATAAGACCAACAAATAACACGGAGGTAGGTTTATCATATTTTTATTAAGTGATACAAACAATACATTATTATGAATATAAATTTTGCCAAGACAGTTGACCCGTAGTTGAAAAATATTGTGCAAATTCGGTTCGAACTTTTTGAGCTTCGACTGTAGCTTTCCTACCAATTTTACATAATGGTTGAACCGAGGAGTTGTTCGCCAATTCTCTTCTCCAACTACCTTCTGTTAATATCCCATTCTCTTCTCTATCAAAAGTACCCACAGGTGTGTATAAATTGACAGAAGATTTACTTTTTCTTAAAAAGTTGTGCAACAATATGCAAGTCATTACTATCTTAGTTACTTTATCAGGCTGAAGCATCATAGGAGTTCGGAATACTCGAAAAACTGCAACCATAATACCAAATGTATTCTCAACAATTCTTCTACATCTAGAAAGCCTATAATTAAAAACTCTTTCCATACTCGCTTTTGCATGACATCCTGGATAGGGTTTTAGAATTCTCTCACTAAGAGGAAAAGCATCATCTCCAACAAAGACATGAGGAACTGGCAGTTTTCTCCCTTGTAGCGGTTTATTTGGTGGAAAATCTATTTCATTTTGTTGCATTTTCTGATACAAATTTGTATTTCTAAGGCCCGGTTGTACAATAAAAGTTTAAAGCCCAACTTAGCTAAACCAAACAAATTCCTAAACTTCCGCTTAATTTCCGATACTGTTGTACAAATATTTCCGAGCTAGAGTTTTACTAAGCTTGGTTTTTTTTTTGAACCATTTGGCATCGCTGTATTCCGGTGCCTAAATATATCTTGTTGCAACGCCCTCAGCGAAAAAAGAAAAAAAGAAGAAAATATTCTTTATTTTGAGGTTATGTTTATGTGATTTTTGTTGTTTGGCGGGCCGTTGTTTATAAAGAATAGGGTACATATTATTGGAAACGTCATTAATAAATACAATGAATGAAATTCTTAGTATTCAAGACTTTGATTCATAAATAAAATGAAAGGGTTTCATCGAATTATATCTGGGCTTCATTAATATTATGCCGTCTGTTCATCAGGCGAATGAAAAAGTACCATCGTCACCAAAAGTAAGGCCCGGTTGTACCAATAATGGTTCAACACAAGTTCTGTTGAACTCTAGTTCACTGTTGAACGTGGTTCAGAGTTTCGAGTGTTGTATCACTGCAGGTTTACCTGAACTGTAAGTTGCAATGCCCACAATAAAAAGAAGAAGAAAATAGGCACACCCTAACCTAGCAAAGATGTTGTTGTTGTTTATTTTCTTGAAGTGTATTTTTGTGTTTTCGTGTTTCGTATTTATTTTCATATTTTGGTAACACACAGCACACAACAGGTCGCAGATGCAAATGATACGTTGATATAATAGGTAGGCATATTTTTTTACTGTTTATTATACAAATATATTAATATACTAATAGATGTCTACTATAAATTCTAGTATTATATATTTGATGAAAATATGGAGAAAAATAATTTCAGAGCAACTAACTTTTCGGCGAGAGAAGAAAATGTCCTTATAAATCTTGTGAAAAAATATAAAAATGCAGTAGAGTGCAAAAAATCTGATACAGACAACAACAGAATTAAAGCAGAGGCATGGCAGAAAATCTATACTGAATTCAATAATATACTTGGAGATCCTCATAGAACTACCAAAGTTCTAAAAAATAAGTATGAGAACATAAAGAAAAGGGCTAAACAAAAATTTGCTGATAATAAAAAATATGTCATTGGAACTGGAGGAGGGCCATTCAAAGATTTAGTGATAGCTGACACTGAGAGTGACCTCCATGAAATCCTAGGCACACAGCTAACAGGAGGTACATCCAAGTTTGATGGTGATGCTACTGCAGGTTGATAAAAGAACTTTTAAATCCTTTCCAAATATTTATGTCTTGTTAATGTTTCAGAATCTATTATAATCCAGGTTGAGGGCAATAATCTCTCTGATACAGAGAATTTTGAGGATATAGAGGAAAGTCCTCCAGAAAAAATTAGGAAAATTGATGTTTCTCATTCGGCAAGTTCTTGCCTTGATATTTACTCAACACAAGGTAAGTACTGATCAAGATCTATAGGTGTATTGCTTGCATTTTCATGTTTAGGCTCATTCAATTGCCAGATTTGGTTCTCCTATTCAATTTTTCAAGTTCCTTTGTACCTACCTATATTGCACTAGTGAAAAATTCTACAACCCTCATATTTTTTGTATCAGTGATCTCAGTTCTGATTTTTGATGATTAAAATACATATTATTTATTTGAAATTGTTTTATTAATTCTATAGTTTCTTATTGGAATATATTTTTTACAGTGGATTCAAATCAGAGTTTTAGTGCTCCAACAGAAACAAAAAAGACTTTAACAACTAAAATCCAAGCTGGGCCAAAGCTTACTCCTGATATTTCTTCTTATTTTTGTGCATCGGTTGAAGAAGTGCCTCATTCATCAAAATCTTCTACAAATGACTGGGCTACATATACACCGGCAATGTTGAAAAAGCCATTGTCTGCTCCATTGCAAAGTCTTGATAATAAAGGTGAGCTTTGATTATGGTCATTGAGGTAACAAAGCATTTAATTATAAGTCTTGGGATTAAAAGCATACTATATGCACACTTAAAAAGTATCAGACTCGCTAAAATATATATTTTAATTCCCTCAATTTTGGAACATTATTTATAACTTGCATAAGTATCTATTTTAGATGTAACTCCAAAAAAAAATCTCAGTGCCAACAGCTCAGTGCCCGGTTAGAAGACTGGGCCAAGAGAAAATCCAACTACACAGGGGTTCAAGAAAAAGCATATGAAGAAAAACATGAGTTAATATTGAAACATTTACAGGAAAAGCATCAGCACGAGATCACGATTTTGGATAAAGAATCCCAGGCAAAAATGAGATGCTTCGAAGAAGAACACAATTTGAAAATGAAGATTTTGGAAAAAGAATATGCTGCAAAATAGGCTGCAATCTCTAAAAAAAAATATTATTTGTTTGCTGCAGCCTATAACTAGACAGATACAGGTGTAGAGCTACATGTACAATAATTAGTTAATCAATTTTTTTCAATGTACCAGTAAGGTACTATTATTTCTGTTTAGTTAAGATTTATTTATATTGTTATTTTTGAGTTTTTTCATTTATTTCAGGGTTTTCTAGTGTGTAGGTTTTTTTTTGTGATTAATTTCTTGAGTTCCTGTCTTAGTTCCTATCTATGTTTAGATTTATTTCAGAGTTGTTTGTTTATTGATTAAAGTAAGTTTATCTAGTTTTTGTGTTTAGTTTTATTAGGTTTTACTATGAAATAATACACAGTGCAGTTTTTTTTATGGTCAAAGATTATTTATCTATTTACAGTAGATTTTGAAAGTAAGTATTAATTAACGTATACCGAACAGTATTGTTGAGACCTCCCTGTGCATGTCCAATCAAAATGGTATTATTGACATTGTTGGTCACTTCTATCGCAGCTGCAATTTCTTGATTGACTGCTGGAGGTTCCACATCTCCCATAGATAGTGCAATATTGTGGAGGACAGCTGAAGCAATAACAACAGCCTCCACTTTTTCCTGTTTCAAACGTATTCCTAAGGAAAGTATAGGAAATCTTCTCTTCCAAATTCCAAAGGACCTCTCTATGGGATTTCTGGTACTTATTTGCGCCTCATTAAATAATTGTTCAGCAGGGGTTTGAGGATTTAATAGAGGTGTTATGGTATGTGGTTTTATAGCATATCCACTATCAGCTACAAGGAAGTTGTCGCCATACACTCTATTTTCGAAATCATTGCTGACTCTGATGTTTCTAAATATGTTGGAATCGTGAGCAGAGCCTGGCCATCGACACACAATATCCTGAAATTTGAGGTCAGAGCTGCAAATAGCCTGAACATTATACGAAAAAAATTCTTTACGGTTTCGGTAATTTTCAGCATCTGCCCCTCCAGGAGATTGAATTTTGATGTGAGTACAGTCTAAAGCTCCAATGCATCTTGGTAACCTCGCAATACTAAAAAATCCTTGCCTGACAATATTCATTTCCGCTTCGGTTCTTGGCATTTTTATAAATTCTCGTCCCAATCTAGCAATTGCCTCTAAAACCATGTATACTTTTCGGCTTGCTGTTGATTTGTCAATTCCTCCGAAATCGACAACAACTTGCAGAAAACTTCCAGTGGCTAGAAATCGTAAAGTAATGCATACCATTTCAGTAGGTGTTACTGCATGGTTTCTAAAAAAAAATACATAAAACATTAAATAATCTAATCTAACACAAATAGGTAAAAAATATAAATCTTACTTACTTGTCAGTAACAGATGAAATTTGATCGGAAATTTCGTCTATGATAAACCTCACAACTTGCTTTTCCAGCCTGAATGTTTCCTTAAACTCTTTGTCATTCCAAATGTTCATATGGTCTGGTCTATTTCTGAATATCTGGGGGGCTCGGGGGTGTGCAACAATATTAACTAATTCTAAAAAGTCTTCGTCGTCAGTAATATCTTCCCACTCAAGATCCATTTTTAGTTAAAATTAAATATAAACTCCAGAATAGTCCAAATATCAACTTCAAAAAAAATATAAATTCAAAAATCAAAAGCCAAAATGATCCCTCAAAAATCAAACAAAACAAAACAAAACATAGGAGAGTGAGGTTAGAAAAACCCAAAAAAGAGTTGAACTGCCCTTGAACGCCCAAATTCGGACGTTCAAGATCAATCACAGTTCACAGTCTGAACCGACCATGTACAACGAGTTTTTTTCTTTGAACCACTAGTCAGTGTGAACTTCGGTTGAACGACCGTTGTACAACCGGGCATAACTGGGACAGCATCACATTAGCTGTTGTCCTATTATATGAATTTTATTGTCAAATATTTGTCAAACTATGCATTAAATGCATTGAGATGAATGACAGTAGAATTAGTCCAGGAGATTATTATGCATTATTTGTGTCCCAGTTACTTTTGGTGACGATGGTACATATAAACCAAGAACGATGTTTATTGTCACTATGGGCGGTTACACACGGACGTGAATGTCTTAATACATATACGTGCATACATCAACGTGCAAACAACAACGTGCATGGCGCTTTTGTACAGACGCTCGCACAAAGCTGCAGTCTGGCTATTCTTGCTACGGTGTTCCGAGTGTGCATACAAAATTGCACATTCAAAAACGCGACGATATTTTGCATACACATTGATGTTTTTGTTTGCACGTTCAGGTATGTGCGTACATGTTTTCAGACATCCACGTCCGTGTGTAACCGCCCTAAGGCCAGGACACATCTATCATGCATTTTTCCGATCCGACTCCGATCATACAATCAAGGTCCTTATTCTTGGAACAGGGGAGCAGCGTTTCCAGGAGAACGCCTGGAAACACTGCTCCCTGTTCCAAGAATAAGGACCCTTATTGTATGATCGGAGTCGGATCGGAAGAATGCATGATAGATGTGTCCCGGGCTTTATGGAAAGTTTCATCAATACAAAAACCTTGCCACATACTTCAATGTTCGTTATTCATACACAAGATGAATCAAACTAGTAATTAAGAAATTGTTCTTCCTTCACTAACGTAGAGTTCATGTAATCAAAGAAGCAGTTCTTTGGACCTATTTTGATGAATTGTTCATTAAATCAAAGAACAACTTCTTTGTATTTATGCTACTATTTGGTTGAGTGTATACAGGGTGCTCCAAAAATGTTATTTTCTTAAATGGAACGCCCTGAATATTTTTACATTTTTGAAATTCTTAGATAATTAGCTTCACAAAAGTATCAAACACTATTTGGATAACAAAAATATACAGGGCGTTTCATTTAAAAAAAAACAAACTTTTTGGCGCACCCTGTACACTTATGACGAGTTATGTGTGCCATTCGTGAGAACATGCTGAGAATTGTGTATGTTTGAAACCTGAATGCCCGATTGGAATAAACTTTGAATTTTTAGATTAGACATAGACTTTGAGCTATTCACACGTATTTTTGCTTTTACATTTTAAACTTGAAAATTTTAATTAAAGTTAAATTTTTCAAAAACGGTTTCTTTATTACCGGAAACATAAAATGGCGCAGTCGGTAGGATTCCTGAAAGGGCTTTCTCGTTGAAAAACTTTTAAGTCCTAATCGTTTATTCAAGGAACGAACCTTGAACCGGGAAACAAAAACTCTATTAAACGGACAAAAACATTGTGTATAGTGTAAGACTTAAGTATGGAAATAGTTGTGAAGAGAGGTGAAGATTGGAAAAGAAAAATGAAGACCTTCCTGTTGTAAGTCCCATTTTTATCAAATTGTCCTTTACCTGTCTATGTCTATCTCCCGGGATTTATCTGATTCTGAGACAGAAACCAGTGAAAAAGGGTCAATTTTAATCGATAATAGTAATCATTCAAGTCGGTTAGATTTAAACACATCTTTACATCTAGAAAATTTATTTTCAAATATTTCCATAAGTGAGAGAATCGGAACGATGTCTTCACCACATTTCGAAACCAAACTACTCGAAATAGTGCCAAAATTCGATGGCAACCCTTAAGAGTTAGCTTCATTTCTTGAAATAAGTCAAAAATTAATTTCGACTTATTAAAATAGTGAAGATCTTAGTTGTGTGCAAAATCTCGCAATAATTTATGGAATTTATGCTGAAATAATAGGTAGGTAAAGCTATATAGGGAAGTTTACAGTAATACCACAGATTACTTACATACAGATGCGAAAGAGCGGCGAATTCGTGGTTCAAGAATAATTTGAAAGACATAGACTGGCCGCACCAATGCCACATCAATGTATTTTGAACATATTTATTATATAAATGCGGAAGCTCAATAAATATAATATTATTTCTTTAATTGGTTCACAAACAGCAAAAAAATATTTTTTTTTACCCGCAAAAATATGTATACACACAGGCTGGAACATGCTCACGCACCCGGCCACGTTAATTGTCCTGACGCGGGCGATCTGGGTCTATGCGTCAAGCCGCTGGCTCCCCAGCTTCGTCACAGAATATCGTCGACGGCAAGTATACGTACTTTCGCATCTGTATTAGGTGATCTGTGGTAATACTCCAGGGCACAATAGATCTTTAGGTCGCAGTGCAACAACACCCCAATACTGCTAGTAATACTCCAGTCAGTACCTAAATCTGATACCTAGATACAAAAAATTCAGGACGAAATTGGCATAGCATTATGTGCAATATCTAGACCAATAAATAAGCAGTTATTAACTGAAAACGACTCCGCTCCAAATGAGACGAAAAATGTAGCCGTCAAAATATTATGCAATGTGCATGATAAGTTGTCCGTGCATAGGAGGTATGAAATTTCACCAAATTTGGATATAAACATGAAAAAACCAATAGATAAGGCACCAACTGGGAAAATGTTGTTTGGTGAGGACCTGGATACTAGATGCAAGAATACTAAAGAAGCGAAAAAGTCAGGGAGTGAATTGAAGAGAAAGACGAACAGTTTTAATAAAGGTTCTTTAAACGACAAGCGCCTTCCAGCACAAATGAGAAAAAAAGTTACCTGGAACTCCTGGAAGACGAACTACCGAAACAGCGCAATGCTACCAATGCGCACCCCGCCAAGAAGCAATACAACAGCGATTGACAGAAATCAAGGAGATCGACGGAGAAGAAGGAAAAGGTGACGCAATATTGGCAACAACAGCAGCAGCGACGTTAGAGGTAGGATGTTATAAAAAAAAACTAGCTGGAAGGATAAAGAGGTTTTTAAGTCAATGGGAAAATATCACTCGTGATCCTAATATTCTGCAAAATATCAGAGGGTATAAAATCCCTTTCTTCTCAAAACCTGTTCAATATAAGGAAGTTAACCAAAGGCCCCTCTCCAACACTAAATTACGCATTTATACAGATTCTCTGCAAAATTTATTATCTCTAGATAAAAGAGTGTAAACTTATCGCTGGTGAGCTGGCAATATCTCCTATCTCGCATCTTTACGATTTTGAGCTTTATTGTGATTTAAATACAGATGCACGTTCCGCAACGTGGTTGATCACAGAAAAGCATTCACCGATGTCTACTGCGGAGAGCCAGGCGCTCTCCACGATGCACGCCTTCTGAGGAAGTCCTCGTTATACATGAAAGCAACTGAAAATCTACAATATTTGGAAGGTTATTACCTTCTTGCGGATTCGGCTTACCCTTCTTTGGATTGGCTTTTGCCTCCTTCTAAAGACAATGGAATGTTGACTTATCGACAGAAAGAAGGTAATTTCAAACTATCGTCAACAAGGATGGTTATTGAGCACGCATTTGGCCTACTTAAAAATAGGTTCCGAAGACTGGGACATTTTGAAAATCTTGATATTAGGATAATTGTAAAATGTATTATGGCCGCGTGTATATTACATAATATATGCATTATTCAACATGTTGCTGAAGGGCTAAATCGACAGGATGCCGCTGACCTTGGTGATGCTGAGTTTGACAGACTTGATGATGCTGGAGATCTGGCTGGGATAGGAAATATTCCAGATTTAAATGAATATCCTCTGGTAGGTGCAAATCGAAGGCAGCAAGTGTTTGAAGAACTATTTCATGATAATTGCGTATAATTTTAGTTCAATAATATTTTTATTTTCAGCATGGTATGTTATTGTGCAACATACTATGTAGCTATTGAAATTTTGCACCGTGCTTAATATTATTTTGGAATAAGTATAGATCACTTAAAAGCCCTCCCCCCCCCCCCCCCCTCCCCCCCAGTCTTGATTATTTTTTTAAAATTCTTGTGTTGGTTTTCACCGAGGAGCAAACCACTATAAAAAGTTTATTGTACAAATGTTGGAAAAGTTTGGAAAAAGTTTTTAAATATTGAGTAAGTACCCAAAATTTACGAAAGTTTGAAAAGTTTCAAAAGCTTTTTAAAAGTTAGTAGAAGTTTATAAGTTTTTTAAAGTTTCTGAAAACATAAAATAAAAAATTTCAGAAATCTTGAAAGTTTCGGAGAGTTCCAGAAAGTGCGGAAGCTTTTGATGGACACTCAATAAAGTCACGAGTTTGAAAAAATTACCAAAATGTTTTTTTTCGAGGTTTTTTTGTGTACACTCCCAAAAGATTTATAACTGAGCTTAGCAAAATAGTCAAACCAAAATCTGTTAAGGTTCAATTCGACAAAAATAATACGAGGATTTTCTGCTCGACCATGGAGGAATACCAGAAAGTCAGAAAAAAACTTTAGAGAAGATGACCAATTGGAATTCTTCACCTACACCACTGCAGAGGAAAAAAACAAGAAAATGGTCATGAAAGCTCTGGATATCGAGCAAACGATCCATCTTTTCAAAAATGACAACCACCTCAACATCATAGAGATGGTAAGAATGCATAGTAGACGGGGAATCTCGCATATCGTTTAGGCACGAAATGTCAAAGTTTATTTCTTTTACCAAATCAAAATCAAACCTACTTTCCTCGCTGATTTTCGAGAAGGACAAGGACAGGAACATTAACGCTTGAGAAAGTTAACCGTTCCTAAGCAACACATCACCATAGAGCATTACAATACAAACAAACAACATATAACCTGAATTGCTTTTTTAAGAGCCACGGTTTTTTTCCTCACGATCCTCACACAAGCTTTTTCTAATTTCATTTCAATTGATTTAAATTTCCTAATATAAAGTTCCGAGTTTAATGCCGTACAAGGCCAGAGCTTACTGTTTCCATTTATTTTAGTATCGTAAGTAGTGAGTAGTGATTGTTATCCAAGATCATTTATAACGTGAATAAAAGAGTAAAATTACAGTCCACAAACTAATTTATGTAACCCCATACATAAAGTTGGTCTTCCTTCGAGCCGGATACTAAAACAAAGACCTGGCAAATGGATTTTGTTGCTTGTTGCAACACAAGGATCTCGAGCAGTTGTGGCTTTGGAGGTTAATGCTTTGGACAGTGCAATTTTCGAATTTTCCATCTACAGTCATCACCAGGTACCATACCAGTACTTAAGGCAGAAAACTAAGGTAGGAGATAACCAATTAACATTAATTATTACCTGCAAAAACATAAAAATTCAGTGCTTCTTCAACGTTTAAAGTTAACTTGATATTTGACCCTTTGTGCGTGTAGCAGAAATCCAAAAGTAATAAGTGATTTCTCGAGTGATTTCTACAATTCTTTCTGTGATTTTTTTATAAGTCATTAGTGGCTGGGAGCTTGGCCCCAGCTAAAAATACCTAGGTGAGCCTTGTGGCAACAAAATTGAACTTGAGTTCCTTGTGGAACAATCGCCTTGTGGCAAATTTCACTGGTAGGTACCTACTTAGCTTAACTTCTTTAACTTTGATACCCAAGATATTGATATTGTACCTTTAAATTTAACTTTAACGCTTATACAATTATTTTTAAATTGTTGAAATCTCGGTTGTAATTGTTCAAAATTTTATTTTTTGCCTTTGTGGAACATTTTACTTTGTAGAGGACTCTGGAAATTGTATCTAAAAATCCTTTCTTTAGCTTCAATTCTTTTATAGCTATTTTGTGAAACCTTTTTCAACTTTTTTTGTGATTTTTACCTTGACATTTTGTCTTTGTTCGAACATTTTAGTACCTAACTCTTATTTATTTACGTATTACATCTCTTTCTTTAACAAAAATTGGAAAAACAATTTTGATTCTTTAAATTTCGGCCTCTAAACTTTTTCATTAATAATGGAATCCCTAATTAGACAGAGAGGCGCTGCTAAGAGCAGGTTTACAAGAATTCAGGATTGGTTTAACAGAAATATAGATTCAGTTACTGAAGTTCAACAATTTGAAACTCGATTACATGCAGTCGATTCAGCATTTGAAAAGTTTTGTCAAATACAGGAACAAATTGAACAAACGAATGATGTAACTGATGAAATAGAAAGAGGCATGTGTGAGGATGCATACTAGGACATATCATCCAAATTAAAATCTAAAATCGATTATTTAAAAAATAATTCACCTGTTGCAGTAACTAACCCCACAATTTCTCATATACAGCGTCCGCAACTTAATATTCCTGTCTTTTCCGGGGATATTACCACTTGGCATGGCTTTTATGAATTATTTAAAAATTTTATCGAAGATGACACAAGTTTATCTAATATAGAGAAACTCATATATCTTAAAAGCTATTTAAAGGGCGAAGCCTTAAGCCTTATTTTCAATCTACAACTGGCTGGTGACAATTTCAATGTAGCACTCAAGATTCTAAAGGACAGATACGATAACGGACTCAATATAATTTATGCTTATATTAAAAACTTGATAGAAGCACCTTCAATAAGCAAAGGCAATTCAACATCTTTGAGAGACTTGGTCACCTTTTTAAAACAAAATATGGAAGGTCTTAAAAATCTCGGCGTCAATGTAGACCAATGGGATTTAATCCTTATTTATATTTTTTCCCAAAAACATGATGGCAGTACTCGCAAGGCATTGATTGATTTCGAATTGGGAACCAATAGCCGTCCCACCTTAAAATTGCTTTTTGAATTTCTTGAAAAACGCTGCATTATTTTTGAACGTTCATCTATACCAGATTTAGGCGCAGTTAATAAAAAACAAACCAAAGTAACTCATAACGTTCACTTTACTCAAAACACTCCGGAAAATAACAAAATTCCAAACAAAATAAATTGTGTTTTTTGTAACATTTCTGGTCATAAAATTTATAGATGTCAGAAATTTATCTCTTTATCCCGATCAGACAAATATTCTTTTGTAAGAGCTAAAAAACTTTGTTTTAATTGCCTCAATCCAAACCGTTCAACTGATCAATGCACCTCGCGTAGCTGCACAATATGTGAAAATAAACATCACACCCTGCTTCATTCTTCGAACCACCCTTCCAATAGAGCACCTGAATTAGAAACAAATCAACAAAATCCTGCAACTTCAACACAACGTTCTACGCAATATTCTAACTCCCCGAACACTTATAATCAGTCACAACAAAAAAACTCTCATACTTTTAACAGACAACCGTCAACAATTCCTCAAAACAACCCACCGACTGGGTTCAGGCATTCATCATGACTAGAAACTAATGATACATCGTACCCAGTATGTTCATCACTGGCATTAAGTGGTGAAACACTGCTGGGCACAGCGCTAGTTGCTATTTTTGATATAAAGGGCAAGGCTTCTAACGTAAAGGCCCTGTTGGATCCATGCTCCAGCATTTCATTAATAACCGATACCCTCGTCAAATTCTTGAAGTTAACTCCTGAAATTAGAATTATAGAAATAAATTGTGTTGGTAACACTGCGACACAGTCCAGTAGCATTGTCAAATTGACATTCTATTCTAATGTTAAGAAACATTCAAAATTTGATGTCACCTGGTGGTTTGCTCCGCGTACAAGGCAACCTATTGACACTCATCGATACTCATTTAGGCTATGTAATTGGCGGTCCTATACCCAAACAACTTATTTTGTATAATAATATCCCTGAATATCCCGAAATCAATTTGCTCACACACATTTCATTAGACTCTTTAATTCAAAGATTTTGGACTCAAGAAGAAATCTGTTATACAGGTAGATGTCTTCCACCTGAGGATGAATTAGCTGAAAAAATATTTTGCGAGTCAACTATAAACTTACCTGACGGATCCTTTGAGGTCAAACTACCTCTAAAAAGTCCTAAGGAACAGTTAAAACTTGGAGACTCCTATTATATGGCAAAAAAAAAGATTTCTTAATTTGGAAAAACGTTTTGAAAAAAATCCAATTCTTTTTGAAAGATATAAATCATTTATTAATGAATACATCCTTTTAGGACACGCTAAATATGTACCCCTTGAACTATTCAATAAACATGGCCAAAACAAATATTTCCTCCCACATCACTGTGCTTTGCGTGATCATAGTTCTACAACGAAACTCAGAGTAGTCTTTGACGCCTCCATGAAGACATCAACAGGAACCTCCCTAAATGATATCATGCTTAAAGGCTATCAAATTCAGCCAGAATTATTTGACATTCTTATTAGGTTTAGGATGACGAGATTTGTTCTCACTTGCGACATAGTCAAAATGTTTCGTTGCATTCGAATTTCTCCCTCGATGACTTTCCTGCAGAATATATTGTGGCGCGCAACCCCAAACCAACCTCTGAAATGCATAGAACTCCTTACAGTTACTTATGGCACTAATAGTGCACCCTTCCTTGCAACTCGTGTTGTAAAGGAAATAGCTATTCGAAGCAAAGAAAACTTTCCCTCAGCGGCTCACGTTCTTGAACATCAAACCTATGTGGATGATGTTTTAGCTACCAGTGATTCTCTTGGAGAATTACAAGAAATTTATAATCAACTCATCGCAGTTATGCAACCAGCCAATATAGCTCTTCATAAATGGTCCTCTAACAATAACGATTTTCTTAACAACTTCCTTAAAATTGAACCTACTACACAACCTGAAGACTTCGAGATAAAATGTGACGAAACTTCCAATAAAGTATTAGGTATCTCTTGGAATTCCAATACTGACCAGTTTGCTGTTACGCTGCCAAAGGTCCTCACCACCACAAACCCCACCAAAAGGGAAGTCTTATCGCAAATAGCTCAGCTGTTCGATCCATTAGGATTTGTTGCTCCAGTCATTATAGTCGCAAAGATTATTATGCAAAGGATATGGACAGCCAAAATTGAGTGGGACAGTAGTCTGAACCAAGAACTTCAATTAGCATGGACAGAATTTGCATCTGAAATTCCTCAACTTGCTTATTTAAAAATACCCAGACATCTACTGTCTGATTGTAAGGTTCAGAAACTTGAAATACACGGATTTTGTGATGCGAGCTTGAAGGCTTATGGAGCCTGCATCTACATTCGAGCTGCTTATACTGACGGAAATGTATCTTCTAAACTGATTGCTGCCAAAAGCCGAGTAGCACCCATAAAGGTTATTTCGATCCCTCGTCTTGAGCTCTGTGCAGCTCTCCTCCTTTCCAATCTTACTACAGAAATTGTTGCTGTGTTCGATAAAAAATTCATATTTAGCAATATTAACTTGTACTCCGATTCACAAATTACCTTATGTTGGATCAGATCTCATCCCTCAAGATGGACCGTGTTCGTATCAAACAGGGTTTCACAAATTCAGCAGCTGACTTCAAATTATCGCTGGCTTCACGTTAAATCAGCAGATAATCCCGCAGATCTCTTGTCCAGGGGCATGAAACCTACTGAACTTTTGAATTCATTACTTTGGTTCCATGGACCAAGTTTTCTGAAATCCCTTGATTTAGACCTCAATGAGTTTGAACTAAAATATAATTCAGCTGAGATTATCCCTGAAGAAAGAGCGAAGACAAATGTTTTCCACGTCTCAAT